GCTTTTCAGTATGTTGATTCCTCAGATCTTCAACAATAATATGCTGTTTTCAAATCCACCTCCATATCTGTTGTATATCCTGCTGTTGCAATCTATGCAATAACCATTTATCTTAAATGCAAGGTTGAGAGAATTCTTAGTTCAATTAATGACTGACTCTTCCAGAAATAGCTGGATCTATGTTTACATTTTTTATTAAAATGTGACCCATCTATAGAAAATTAAAATAAAATCAGGTTTTTCCTCCATGAATAATCAAACTTAATATGCACTTGTGTCACACTCAACTGGGTAAATTCTAGACAACTAATTTCCCCTGTGGTATAAGGCCTATGCAATATTGACTGTTTACTGCCACAATTAAAAGTTAACAGAAAATATTTTCCATAACATCATTCTATAAATAATAACTATTCCCTTCCAATGGGCAGTTTGAAAAAAAAAAAAAATCTATGATCCGCAAAAGATTAACAACTCAGATCTTGGCATATATGATAGAAACCGGTATTTTTTTGCCTCTCGAAGGAAAATGTGTTCTATAAACTTTCCAAATATATTTTAGTTACTGAGAAAATGCATGATAAATAATTGTAGCCTCAGAATAATGCACAATAAATGTGATTACAGTGGTTACCAATAGAAAGTGAAATTGGTAGAAGGTAGGGACAGTCGTTCATTTTTCTTTATATATTTGTACAACATTTAAAAGTTTCCCATTGTGAATGTGCATCACTTCGGTAATTTTATTTTAAAGTTAAATCTGGAGGGAGAAACAGCTGTAGCTTCTGAGAAGTTTAACGCTCAAATAACAAAACCACATCTTCTCTGACAGTATGCTATCATGAATTCACAAATACAACACAATATGTCAAATAGTTATAAAATATAAATGTTGACTTTAAGTGGAATAAGTGAGTCACAAAATCTATATTAAGCCTTGTACAAACTGGAAGTAAACATCATGTGGTCTTCGAAAGACTTTCTAAAATTCAACAATATTATTTTTAAGTTTTTGCATTAGACGGTTGTTTCTTACTCAGGACCACATACATCCACATCAGACTTGAGATGCCCTTACTTTGAAAGCAGATTATGGAAAGCACAAAACAAGCTGTAATATTACAACTTGATGTGAGGAATGGCAGATGAACAATTCAACCAAGTACACAATTAGGTGTGTGCAATTTTCTAGGTTTAGACAATATAAAAGAACATGTCCTGACGAGCTAGGCACACTGGACAGCTGAGTAAACTAGCAGGGTGTATATACCAATTACAAAAATGAACTAGTGAGGTGTGACAACCAGTTGTGCAATCATAGCTTTATCTGATGTAGAGTAATTCTGATGTATGGTAATGACGATATGGAAGAACTCAGGCCTTCTTTGAATTTAGCTGTTAACTTTTTCAGTGGTTACACTTTAGACCCACGTTAACACTCTAGACATGTAATCCGCAACTTTTTGGGCCCCAGGGACCAGTGCTCCTATGAGAATCTAATGCCTGATGATCTGAGGTGGAGCTGAGGTGATGATGCTAGCTCACCTCGTGCTGTGTGGCCCAGCTCCTAACAGGCCATGGACTGGTACTGGTCTGTAGCCTGGGGGTTGGGGACCCCTGATCTAGACTATGTAGATGGTACTTTCTATTTTTTACCTGGTGACAAATGTAATCTGCACTATGCAAATTAGTATTTTCAAACTCTAAACTCAAACCATCCCAAATATCTAACCATATCAAAAAACAGCATGACAATATAGCTAGAGATGCCCACAGCTTACTCAGGTCTACAGGGAACTCAGAAGAACACTGAGGACATACATTCGAGTCTAGATCAAGGCCCTTGTTACAAGCATGCTCACAGTTTATATACCTATGTAAAAGAAGCTTCATATAATGGCTGAAAAACTTAGTAAAATCTTGTGCATTACAAACAGCAAACACAGTAATTGAATCTGACATATATGAAAAAATTGACAGAGTTTCACTTCCAAAAATGACAGACTACATAATTCAGACCAAACCTTCCACTCAAAATAACTAAAAAAATGAGAAATATTTCAAATAAAAGTATGGAAAACTACAAAGAAAAGACAGATGAGACCAAATGCAAGAGAAGAAAGAAACCCAGGGAGGTCAGTCCATCTTTTAGGGTCTCTTTCTTCCTGAAAACTCAGCCCATTTCAGGAAAGGCAGTTGAGATACCAAGAAGTTGAGCAGGTGGTGATTTGCTAGAGCAGGGTTTTTAACAGATGAGTGAGATCAAAGGGAAAAGCTGAAGTTGAGAGCCTTTCCAGGGAAGCAGGACCCTGGTTAAGTTTCCCCCACCCCCGGCCCCAAACCTTTGGGTTGGAATCATGAAGGACACTAGCAGGAAAGGTGAACCAGAAATAGTTAAAACCTGACACTGAAGTTTAACACTGAAATATCTCTAATAAGGTAATTCACTGCTATATTGCTATAGCCTCTAATCTATAACAAAAAGCAAATATGTCCTCTCATACATATTATCAAAATATCTATGCAAATTTTCTTTGCAGAGAAATGAAATATAGTTTCTGTCATCAACAGAAGATCCCATTAAGAGAGTTTTAAAAATGAGAAGATACAGCTGTAGAATGAGAGACAATATTTGCAATACACATAACTGACAAAGTGCTCATATATAAAACATATAAAGACCACCCACAAATCAAGAGCAAAAAGACAAGCAACCCAATAAAACATGTAGGCAAAAAAGCAAACGGGCGTTTCAAAAAAGAAAATAGCCAATACCCAGCAAGCACATAAAAAGATGCTTATCATCATTAGTAATCATAAAAATGCAAATTAAAATCATGATGACACACCTTAAACACCCAATACGATGGCTATTTTTGAAAGACTGGATAATATCAGGTGCTGGAAAGGATGAAGAGCAACACGGATTCTCACACACTGCAATGAGGAGTGTAATCTAGTGCGACCATTTTGGAAACCTGTTTTACTAAATTGTAGTGCACCTAGCAATTGCACTTCATGTTAGGTACTGAGAGAAATACATGCACATGTGCACTACAATAACAAGGTTAGTCATCACAGCTATTCGTAATAGCCTTAAAATTTAAAATAATTCAAATATCCATCATAAAATGTTACAGTACATTACAGTATATTCATTCCATGGACTACTAAAAAACAACAAAAATAAACTGCAAGTACATGACACAAAACCCAGAATATAGCACAATCATATTGATTAGCAAAAGAAATCAGACACAAAATAAAAACATGTCCTATACAATTCCATTTATATAAAAAGTCAAAAACAGGCAAAATTAATCTTAAAGTGTTACAAGTCAAAATAACAGATTTAAAGAGGAAGGAGTCAGTGATGGGGGTGGGGGTGGAGAGGCTTCTTATGTGCTGGTAATGTCTATTTCTAGGTCTGGGTGGTTGGAACATGGGCATGTTCACCTTGTAATAATTAATCGAGCTATACACTGATATATGTATTTTTCTGTATGTGGAATATACCTCCCGAATTTTAAAAATTAAAAGAAGAAAGAAGTAGAAAAAGCTTCAGCAGTTTCCACTGTCAAGCGACACATTCCACTCTAGAGTTTATGAGAAGAGTTGGAAGATCATTTAATAAGTTATAGAGGACCTCGGAGCTACATTCTTAAAAGTGTGTGTTCAGCTCCTGTTGAGACAGTACATAAAACAGAGAATGGCATACATTTCTTGCTGTGTGAACCACAGCAATTAAGGCACGCACCAATCTGTTAATCTTGGAAAAGATCTTTTTTTTTGAAGTATATATTTTAGATATTCCAGACTGGCACGATGTAAATTGAAGGAACCGTTGGTATGCCTGGAAAAATCGAGGACTTCATATAAAAAAAATTAAGTATCCCATGTCCTGATCATATATTAGCTGTCACGTTATCACACATTAGTTGCAAAGATTTTGTCTCTTCAACAGAAGACCTGCATTATATCTTCATCTCTCTGGGATACTTCACAAAGAAATTAGCACCAAAAACTCAGGAGGAAGGTGCTTTTATGTGGCTGGGTGCTTTTCTTATTTTTGAAATGGGCGGTAACTGAGTTGATCTCTGAAAACAAAGTGTATCCATCTCTTAGCATGCACAACCAATAAATTCAATCTCCAAAATAAACTTAACATATTTATGTAAGGAACTGGAAAAAAATTATCTGTGTTTACTAGGAAACTTTCGGTTTGAATAAAATATGTCAAGAAAAATAATTCTACTTTTTCATGTCTTTAAAAATCAAAAGGTATTGTGGGAAATGAATGAATATACATTGTTCCTGAAAGTTAATGAATTTGCAACACTTCAGTGACAATTTCTATTGATATTTTTCTTCTAAAAAAATAAATAAATCACTGATGATGCAAAGAAATGGACACTAAGTACTTTATTTTTTACCTTAATTCCACCAAAGATGGTGATTTGCTAGAAAGAAATCACTGCATAATGGGTGTGAACAATCTAAATTTGAGATAATAAACCTCAAGAATTAGGGGGTATTTTCAGTCAGCGTTAATTATGTCAAACAAAAACAGACAGCAAGGAGGTCTTTGAAGCTACTGTGATTACACACTACGTAAGATGACTAGAAATACTTAATGGGAATGCCAAAGAGCCACTACCAAAAAATTCTGTATTTTTCAAATATCATTTAACAAAAGCTATAAAGGAATTACTGAGTTAATAAAATTTAAAATATCTTTCAAATATTCATAATAAAACTCTAAAAATTAAAACAAATGATAATTCTATCTCTAATATACTACCACTATAAATATTTCAAACTTAAATATCTAAAATTCATGGCCATTTTATAATAGGTGTAAAACGTATTTTTAGATAAAATGTTATATACCTCCTAAAAAGTTAAAATCTACTAAATGTCATTGTGAGTACAACCAGCCCAGCCACTCTGCCTACCACCTACATATGAAATAAAAAATTTTATAAACAAAGATTTCTCACCGATTCTTGTTTTTGGGTTTCACTAAGTTTTTCAGTCAGTTTTTCCAACGCTCTCTTTGTTTGGGCATCCGACCTAGGCAACAGAAAAATATTAAAGTTGGCTATTTCAAAAAATATATATAATAAAATGTATAATAATATACTATTACATATAACACTCTACTGTAGTGGTTCTCAAATGTTAGCAAACATGAAAAACCTGGAGGGCATGTTAAAAACAGGCTGATGGACCCAACCACCAAAATTTCTGAATCAGTAGTGCCAGGATGGAGCCCAAGAATGTGCATTTCAGCATTATTCATAGTGACCAGGACATGGAAGCAACTGAAGTGTCCTACAATAGATGATTGTCTGAAGAAGCTGTGGTACACATATACAATGGAATATTACTCAGCACTGAAAAAGTTGAAAATCACATGATATCACTTATATGTGGAGTATAAACCTAAAAGCAACAAATGAACAGGACAAACAAACAGAGACTCATGGACATGGACTATAGACTAGTGGTTACCAGAGGGTTGCAGGGGGGCGGAAGATGGGGATAGACGGGGTAAAGGGGGTCAAATATGTGGTGACAAAAAGAAATCTAACTATGGGAGGTAAACATACTATGTAAATATACTATGTGCCTTACTGTTAAAATGTACAGCTGAAACTTATTGGATTTTGTTAACCAATGTCACCATAAAAATAAATAAATTAATTATTTTTTTAATAAAAAGAATGTGCATTTCTACAAATTCCCAGGTAATGCTGACACTGCTGGTCTGAGGACTGCACTTTGAGAACCACTGCTATAGTGGAACATCACCTTCGATAAACAAATATGCTGCAGTATGTTCCACTTCAAGAAAAAAAGGAAGAGAGAGAGAGAGAGGAAGAACAAAACTCACATCCTCTCAAGGAATTCACAATCAAATCAATCATATCAGTATCTGTCCTCGCTAACTCATCTCCCATTAAATTAATAACGTACAGGATCAATAATAAAACAGTATAGAAAGACTTATAAAGTAAAGGCCTTCCTCACACTTCCTTACCTCTAGCTCCACTCCCACTGGCAACCATGCTCAACCATTTCAATTCTTAATTCTTTTGCTGGTTATCGACATTATTTTCAACTCTAGGCATTTTCGATTGATTCTCTGTTTTGAAATTTTTAGCTCACTCGCAATCCTCTCCAATTCTAGACAAATGTATTACTATTTTCAGTTCTTCTATAGGCCACCTATGTAACTTACATAACATACCTCTTATGAACTATTCCATCATAGAGAATTGGTGCCTTTTGCTTACATTGTCATGCTCACATTACAGTCAGCTTCATACTTGGTTCATTAACTTTCTTGTGCTTTTGTTTTTTCTAGAGTTTCTCATTATCTCTTGGTGTTATTTATCACATCATTGAAATTCTTCTCCCACTTCTTAATGAATCATCTATTATAAATTAACTCTATTCTTGTTGACTACATGCTTCTCAAAGGACACTGACTTCCTGCTCAAATTTAGAGTGAGTAGTTTCTGGACCGAATATGTGGCTATCATTCTGGGGATTACTTTCACTGAACTTCTTAGTTAGTTTTACTTTTTTTTTTTTTTTTTTACACCTACATCACCTGGTCTTCCTGGGTGGTCTCCCATCCAAGTACTAACCAGGCCCAACTCTGCTTAGCTTCTGAGATCAGACGGGATCAGGCACACTCAGGGTAGCATGGCCGTAGATAGTTTTACTATTTTTTATAATCCATATCGTCCCCTTTCTTGGTTACGATCTTATATTACTTATAGGTCCTAAGGTAATTACTTCAGAAAAAAAGTTATCTTAAAAGGTAAATTTTCTAAGTCTTTAAATCTCTGGAAATGTATTCATTTGTACCTCCTTCTTGGCTTTTGTGGTTCCATGTGCTCCTGTATTTCCCTCATCTTACTAGCTGATCCTTCTCAATCTAGCTCCACTTTGTATATAAGACTTTTAAATACTGGAATGCCATAGCACTCAGCCCTGTCCTGCATGATCTCCCTGAATACCCTCCATTTCCATGGTTCCAAATACCACTTCTATATGCTGACCACTCTTCAAATCTCTAAGAAACTTCTCCTTTGAGCTCTAAAGTAAATAGCTAGCCGAGCATTTTACATTTCCATTTGGATGTTTCATATGTTAGGCATCTCAAACCTAACATATCCAAGGTCAAACCCTTAATTTCTACACCTCACCTACTTCCACCAGTCTTCCATATTTCAGAAGTAGAATTACCATCTACCCAGCTACTCACATCAGAAATTTGGAAGTCAACTTTGGTTTATTCTCCCTTATCCCCCGCCCCATGTCCAATCCACTGCTAAATCCTATCTCTTCAACCTGCAAAAACATATCTTGAAACACAGCCCTGTCTATCCCTCCCTTGCCATAATCTTGGTCAAGTCATCATCATCTCTCATGTTAATGCAAAACACTTCCGACTCACCCTCCTCAAATCAATTCCCCGTATGGTATCCAAAGTAGGTGAATTCTGAATTAAACTTTATTAAACACTTTCTAAAATCTTGCTTTCCTGTGTCCTTTTATTTTTCAATGTACTTTTTACAATAAATGTCAAGAAAAATTAAAAATTAAAAATTAAATGAACATATCAACCTTTCTGAATCACATAGAAAATAAACCTAGCAACTTCCTACCCTATATATTTTTATAAATGGAAATTTTAAATTTGTGGCACAAGTATAGCAGAACTGGATCTTAAATCTTCCTCATCCACAAAGTTAAGCCACTGAGTTTCACAACAAACTTGACTCCTAATTCCTCTGCCTCACACATGCCTCCAGGTCACACAAACTATTACCAGATGGTACTAGCCCAGCAAAGATTCCTAATCCACTGATGCATATCTGAATTACCTTTTAAACTAATCAACTAACGTACCCCTGCAACTTCCTCTGTATCTTCTTACGGGACAATTGTATGTCCAGAAACTCATGTTCCTAGTACTTAATTTAACCCTTCCTTCAAGTGTGTAAAAGCTGCATGATAAAGCCACTCCAAGAACACACTACATTAGAATGTTGGTGCCATTCTGTTGATTTTATTGACTTGTCAAAAATAAATATCTAAGTAAGTATTAAATTAACTAACACTTACTGGTTTAGTAGATTATATAGCTCAATAATATAGTTCAAAATTCAGGAATTTAAATGCTTTATTGATATCGGCTCTCTATGGCAATGATCTTGAACCACGGTATATTATAAGTGGTAAAGAGCATTCTGGGGCTTTACTGTCTAGATTTGAATTCTGACTCCACCACGTCCCTCCTAGTTGATCTCTAGAAAGCAGTTACTTCATCTCTCTGTGCCCATTCCTACATCCAAAAACTGAAGAAAATCATAATGACTATCTCATTAGGATTGTTGCAAGAATTAAAGCTAAATCTACCTGGCATGAAATAAGTGTTTAATAATATTAACTAGTAGGAGGAGGAGAAATAACAATAGTAAGGTCTTTAATTCTTATTACTAAATTTCCTGCCTTCCTCATATAAAAGCAGATGAGTTATACAGATGATAACTGATATTTGTAGATTTAATAATTATAGTTTTGACTCCTCTGGCTATAGAAACATAAAATTGGTTTATGGAATGATTTCATTAGCTGGAATGGAAGTTAACAAATGAAATTGGTAATCAAATTTCAATTCAGCTTTTTTGTTCCCTAATCATTGCTGTATATAGAATGTGACTTAAGAAAGGATAAAAAAATCTTTGTTTCTTGTAAAAATATGGCTTCCAAATAAAGCCAATTGTCACTGATGATGATAAAAATGAAAAAAAAAAAAAATTAAATAAAATGATACTTCTTGAAGACTACCCAGAACTGACAAAATTGCAAAGACTGGGCAAATATAAACCATTTGCTTTCGAAGATTTCAACTGAAAGCTAAAATATCAGATTCTACAATAGCTCATTTCATGCCCATTGACAAATTCCACATTATGCTTTTTGTTTTTAAAGCTCCACTGCCAGTCAAGTATCTCTCTGCTTTCCATTGTAATTAGTTAAATGGTTTTAAAATATGAAATTAATTTGTCTAACACTGAGTCATAATACATTCTAAATGCAAAAGGTTCTGAACTGTTCTATTAATAAATTTTAAAATACTGGTATAAAAACAAAGTACCGGTTTTTAAATTCATGTAAACATGTCAATTACAGAACCTATTTTATTCTTCTAATAATTCAAGCCTCCAGTGAAAAAGAACCATATTCTTTTACCGGCTTCTTCTGGCAAGTTCCCGGTTAAAATCATCTCCAAGGCGAACCTGTTCACTGCTGAGGTCTCGGAGGGACTGATGAAAAGCATGAAGCTAGAAAAGTCGAAACATAGTTATCCATTTAGGATTCTGTTAAATTTATCCATGAAGACTCACAGAGGGTAAAAATAAGATCTTGTTCTTTGTAATAATACTCAAATACCCTTATACTTATTACCCTTATAAAAATATCCTTAAAATACAAAAATACCCTTATAATTATTAAGACAGAATAAAATAAATGTCTACTCTGAAATATTTTTTTCCAAAGAAAAGCAATTTTTTAAAAGCTATATATAACATTAACCATCACATCCTCTATAGTACAGAAATTCTACTTCTTATAGATACCCTAGAAAAAAGGCCAGTGAACTTTTTCTGTAAAGAGTACAACAGCAAATATTTCAGGTTTTTGAGCTATATGCCCTCCTCTGTCACAATAATTCAACACTGCCATTATGGTGTAAAAGTAGCCATAAACAAATGAGCATGACTGTGTTTCAACAGAACTTTATTCAACTGGGCCACCTGCTATAGTAAGGCCAACCCATGCTGCAGAGAAACTCTTGGCCACGTGCATGAGGAACCACGTACAAGAATGTTTAGAGCAGCACTATTCATAATCAGAACACTGAAAACAAACCGAAAGTCCATTAAGAGGAGAATTGATATAAATAAAATGTGATATAGTCCTCCAGTGGAATATCATACAGCAGTGACAATGAAATGATCAAACCTACCTATACATCAGTAAGGTTGAATGTCAAAAACAACATCAAATGGCGAAAAAAAGTTACAAAAAAAGACATACAGTATTATTTCATTTCTTTAAAGTTTAAAAGCAGAAAATATTAAACATGTAAATAATAAAAATATTTCTTTTAAAAACAAGATAATGATTAACATAAAAGTCAGAGTAGTTCATTGCCCTTGGGGAAAGGAGGAGCATAAAAGAGGTTTAGGGGATATCGTAATACTCTATTTCTTGGCCTGGGTGGTGATTACATGGATTTTCATTCAAATGATTATACTTTTAATTGTAAATATTTGCGCTACACATGTATGTATATGCTATAATTTATAATTTAAAATTTTTAAGTTGTGAAAGGGGTCAAATATGTGGTGACAAAAAGAACTCTAACTATGGGCGGTGAACACACAATGTGAACACACAGTGCAATATATATATATATATACCATATCTATCTATCTATCTATCTATATACACCTTATAATATATACACCTTATATATATACACTTGAAACTTACTGGTGTATATATATAAGGTGTATATAGATAGATAGATAGATAGATAGATAGATATATCTATATATATATAGATTACATGATGACATAATAATAAATAAATAATAGATAGATAGATAGATAGATAGATAGATAGATAGATAGATAGATATTTTAAGTTACATAGACTTATAGAAACAAGTTGATTCAACAAGTGCACATTGGGCAACTAATTGGTGCCGACAGCTATGACAGGAAACAAGTAGCTCACAATTCAACATGGGAGACAGATACATAAACAAAACCACAAACGCTGCACCAGAGCATTAAGAAAGCACAGTCATGTGGAGCTAAAGGTCACCCTGAGGAAATGAAGTTAAAATGCAGAAGAACAATTAAAAAGAAAGGAGTGGAGGGAACATAGTGGATGAACAAGAGACCATTCGCTTAGGTTTTGCCATCATCATTTTCCCGTTTTGCAAACCAGAATCCTAGAACTCATCTTGGACCCCTCCATTTCACTCATTCCCACCCTCGCCAAATGCTCATTTCATCTTCAAGACCTTTCATCTGTCCACCAAATAAGCTTTTAAATCCACTCCCTTCTCTCCTTTGATCCTAACCCATGTGAGCATCATGTCAGACCCAGAACATAGCATATATTCCTAATTGGTTTGCCTACACTGACTCCTTTTTATACACTAGAGCCACAGTGATCATTTTAAAATAATTGTCCCCTTCTTACAAGACTGTATATGGTCTCAGTGCTTCATACTTCTTTAGCCACATGGCCCTCTTAAAATTACTCACAGGTGCTATCTTCCTTCCTGCCGAGGTATTTGTTCTACCTCAAATAACTTTTACTCAATTTTTGGATCTCAACTCAATCAGTCATTCTTCAAGAAGCCTTCCCTTACTGGGGCAGGTCCTGTACTATACATTCCCATAGCTCTATGCCTCTTTCTGTTACAGCATGCATCTCAGCACATAATTATGGGTGTATTTATGTACTTATTTGATTAATATCTAGCTCCCACTCTAGATTATAAGTTCCACAAAAAAAAAAAAAAAAAAAAAAGGTTATCTTTCCCAGGACAGAGGCACTAAATAAACAGAATGAAAGAGTAAATGAGTCATGTTAGCATACTGACCTCTGCTCTAGGTTTAATCACATAATTCAAGCAAGTTACACCTACCAAAAAAATAACACAGTCAAAGAAAAGTTTTTACAAGGTGTCTTCTAATGCACTTGGTTCTGTTATCTCTTTATCTTATGCTGTAACAAGCAGAAGCTATACAGATGAGTATTCCTACAAACTTTGAATCCTCGGTCCTACGAAGATATCAAAGTCAGCAATATCCCCTATCTAATTAATCTAGCCCTTATCAAATTAATTTAGCTACCCAGGAAACCAACAACAAAAAAATAAAATAATGTTTATTCCGCTCTTGCAGAGAAATTAAAGAAGCAAAAAACAAAATATGTCCATACAACTGATACTTGTGAAATATTTAGTGAATACATAGAAAAAGTATGAAATTTCTTGCTTAATAGAAAGTGGCTCCACTGAAAATTTAACAGTCAGAAAAACACTAATGGAAAAATCAATAGGTTAACCGCACAAGGACTAACTTGTTCATACCAAACCAAACTTTACCAAATAGAAAGTGGCTGACTCAGCAGGGCTTACAGAAGAGTGTACCTGAACAAGGAAACAACACATGTCCAGAAAACCCCACTTTTAAACTGTTCTACAAAATTGAATCCTCCATAACAAAATTAAAAATAAATGTATGATGATGATTAGTACATTGAAAATAAAATAGTTTATTTGGTTTAAGAAAAATCAATACGAAGTTACTGATGATGAAACTCTTGGTTAAAATATAGCCATAAAATGCAAGTGTCAGTCATTTACATAGAAATGTAAGGAATACAGAATGGTACAAAGTACCTGGCCCATGTCCTCAGTCTCCCGAAGAAATCGGACACCAGCTCTGGATCTAATTCGTTTACTTCCCTGTTGATCCTCATAGTCCTTGAGAGGTGAGGTAGGTGGATAACGATGGCTTTCTTTACAAATGAAAGAAAAGGAAAAGGATAAAAACACTGCATGAGAAGAAACATTCTAAAATTTTACTCAGTAAATACACAGCAGACATGAATATACACTTGTACCCTTAAAATTCTACAAAATTGGCATTAATCTTGCTCTTAAAGCAGATAAAATGAACAGATAAAAGCTGGAAATAGAACAAGTAAAAAATTCTAATTTGCTATACTTTTCAAAGAAGCAATATAAAATTTTCTCATATAAAAAATAATTGCTAAATAAAAGTAACTTTTATGACTCCCTAAAATAATAAAAATATTAACAGAATTTTTCAAATAACAAATTAATTAATCTAAAATATGAATGGTATTTAAAAGTCAATAAACTAAGTACATAAAGAACAGCTAATTGTATCTAATTTTTAATCATTATTATCATGATCAACAGCAATATTAATGTTGGCTACTAATTTTCACTCTATCTAAATCACCTCTCTTCGCTGCAGACTTCTCTATTCTATTCTGTCTTTTGTATCCAAGCATGAATGTCTGTGCCGTAGGAAAGTACAAGTAAAATTAATTACTGGCAAAATGTTATCACCTTTAATCTAGCCATTGAATTCTAGCTGCACACCAAGCATAAAGTTCACCTGTTCTTAACAAGTGTTATAGGGTATTTCATAATCAGATATTTGAAAAACCACAAAACTAGAACAAGACTTCTAACCCAGAACGTATACCGCATGGTAAATCCTATTTTTGTGTTTGTTCTGATTGGTGGCAGACGATTAAATCCAAGTTTTGGCAGGTAAAGCTCTGCGTGGTCTATGGAGTCTGAGAAGAAAAAACTAATAGACTCACGGTAACAAAGTGCCGTTAAACATATTCGAATATTCACTGTAAAATCCTTGACTACAACTTCTAACACCTTATTTGTATGATTTTATGTATAGGTCATATCTGTCCAAAGAATAAATGTATTCAATATGTACTTCATGAATATCTTTAAAGCAAAAAAGGATTTTCAGAACATCCATAGAGTTTACCTGTCACAGTGGTACCATCAAGGTCACTTGCACTCAGACTTGTAACAGAAACACTTCTCCCTCCTGAGTTTCTCAATAAACGTTGACTCCTCAGTTGGCCTATTGATTGTTCCAAGCTTTCTTTTAACTAAATTAAACAATATAATGAAGAGAGATTTATTCTCTTTAAACTTCCAAATACAAATAGACTAGACATTTTTAAAGCTATTTCCTAAAATATCTGGTTTCCCAAAGAGACTTTATATCAGAGAAAATTTGAACTATGTTAGGAAATACAAAAAGAGTAAACAAATATTTTAAGAACCAATTCTAACATCTGGTTTTAAACAGCATCTGTCACTACCTATCTCATCTTTCTATTACCAGAATGTAAAAGAGATGTCTACTACCTAAGCGCTTACAAAACCAGACTGCAACATCTAACTGATGTGCCCCCCATGGTTAGACACGTAACAAGGCTAAGACATCTGAAAAGAGAGAAAGCCCTCCTGCCGTCTAAACACTCCTTCAGAAACCCCAGGCCTGCAACAAGCAGGAAACTGAACAGTGACTGCTGCTATTGAAACAATGTGTACTACCCAACTCTAAACCAGAACATCTCTTTCAAAGATTTAAAATCCCAGGAAACTGTGTGGTCAGATGTCCGACTGTTAGTACATACTAGAGATCACAGTTATCCAAATGATCTCTTCGGATTAGGAAGTCAGCCAGCAGAAGATATAAGAAGACATCTTTTTAGACCTAAAGAGCTACATTAAATAAAAACATGCTAAATACTGAAATAATGTCCACAGCTATAGACCTGAAAAGAGGACTAAACTAAAACTCGAGGGAACAAGGAGAAAAGTTCAGGTCTAGGCATCTTAGCCAAGGATGAATAAGAAAGAATACTAATAAAAATAATGCATGGATCCATACAAGAAGTCATCTAGAACTCGTTAAAGAGAGTATCAAAACAAAACAACTGATTGAGAAGACAGGGTTACCTAAATTCAGCCAGAATGAAAAGACAGAACATTACTTATGGCGAGAACAAGTCGATCTCCTTGGTGAACTATGCAGTAAGGAAGTAGCCTCAGCTGAGGGGAAAGCATGGATGACAGAATAGCGAATCCTTTTTCATTTTGATTATGTGTGATTTAGCTCTTCTGAACAAACAAGACTAAGAAAGTCTGGATTAAAAATAGTAGAGTTAGAATTGTAGGACTCTACTTCTATTTTGCTCTTATTTCTAGAAAAAAAAAAAAAGGCTAATGTTTCTACATCCTCTGTCCTCTGCTTCCCTAAATTGGAATATGTGCAAGATCAACCTGCCTGAGTGGTTAATGGCTGTGAAAGCCAGCCTATCAATCCAGGGAAACATACAGATGAGGCCTGTGAGAATCAACGTCTATCTTGAGAGTAATTTACATATAAGTAAAAGAGAACTGTAGCTAACATGTTACATAGACCAGAGGTCTTACACAATGAACACAAAATAGTATATCAGTAATCTATGACAAAGGCTCAGGACAAAATTAAATGACGTTAAAGTTTAAAAAAAAAAAAAAAAAAAACTCAAATCTAAACTGTAATGTGAGTAAAGGACTAGAAATGTAAAGTGATTTTATGTCACACAAGTTAGCAGTGGCAGAACTAGCTCTATTAGCCTTCCTTGTGCTTATCTTTATTACTCACATCTTTCGAGCTAAGCCTGACATCACTGTGCTTTTGGAAGCAAAGTCAGCTGTCATTGCTTATTATTGCTTTTTTTAGCTCTGGTTATTTTTAAGATTTTCTCTTTGACTCTGATCATCAATGGTTTTACTCTAATATGACTGCAGTTTTATTTGTAGTGATCCCATTTTTGACTCATAGAGATTGTGGAATCTATAGCCTGATATTTTTCATGTATTATATGTTCTCAGCCATCATCTCTTCAAACATTGTTGCTACCCTATTCTTTCTCCCCTCTCCTGAAAATCCAGATGCATTTAAGGTATAGCTATTTACCATATGTCTTCTATGCTCTTTTTTGTATTTTTCATCCTTTCCTTCCTCCATTTTTGGATATCTTATGCTGGCCTATCTTTCAATTCATTAATTCTCTCCTTAACTGTGTAAAAGCTGCTGCTTAGTCCATCTGTTGAAGGTTTTAATTAATTGATTTGTTTGTTTTAATTACATTCTTCCATTTCTGTAATTTTCATTTGGTTCTTTTCTATAGTTTCCAATTCTTTGTCAGAATTTTCAATCTTGTCTTTTCATTTCTTAAACACATTAATCATAGTTATAATACTACGTATTTTTCTATTGCCTGTTGTCTCCCTTGGTTTTCGGTCATCTCTTATGTTTACTTATGCCTAGGTATTTTTTTAATCAGGTGACAGACATCGCATATGAAAAATTGTAGAGATCATTGAAAGTTCATGGTGATGACATCTTCAGTAGGGATTTAATTTTGCTTCTAGAGGGAGGTCAGGCTAGGGTCTCTAGGAATCCCAACTCACCTTAATCCAATCAGGAATTGAGATGATTCAAAGCTGGGATTCTGATCCCATGAAGGTTCGTTTATTTTCAGTTTATCACTTTTCTTTTCGCTTCTCCTAGCGATCACCATCTGGAGTCTCAGTTGAAAGCTAGAGGGCTCCTGGACTCCAGTTGTGATCTCCCCAGCCTCTTGAGACTCTTGATAGCTCTGATCCTATCCTCTCTGCTTCTAAGTTACCTCTTTTGAAATCAGCTACTGCCTTGAGGGAAGAAAAGAGTCCCAAATATAGGATTCATCCTTCCGGACTCCTATTGTTGCCAGATTTTCACTACAAAATTCCTCACTACCTTGGTAGGTCTCTGAAGGGTTCACATTATTATTTTTCACTCTTGTTCTTTTTTTGCCCTTCTAGTTGTTCAGAGTAGGAGAGCTGAACCAAAATAATCTTATCTATCAATGCCAGAAGCAAAGCTTGCCAGCATCCATTTTATGTAGGCTTATTTGCTAACAAATTCTGAGCTGTAACTAAAAGCTGATGAATAAAATGAATTCGCACATGCATGCGCAACACACATTCCCTGCTAACAAGAAGAAAAAAGAAGAAGAAGAAAAAAACCACTATGGAACATATGGAAAAATATTGCAGAATAAGAGAAATAATACAAAATCTAGGAGGAATAACAGATGTTGGAAATTAATCATTTCAGAAATAAGATAAAAAGTTAGAAAACTATTTGGCGACTTCATTTTAAAACTTTAAAAAATATATATCATAAAGCATTGAACAGATGAACGGGCTAATATATAAAGACCAAAGAATGAAATGTAAAACATAAATAAGTGGAATAAAGATTTAATTCTACCAAGCAAAAACAAGTCTTCCACCTAAGATACAAAACTAAAAATGTAACAGAATTAAAATGTACACTTATAAGTAGCAATAGCAAAACAGATAATGCACAAAATCTAATCATGATGTATGAAATGAATTTGATCACTCCTAAAGCACAAAGAGATAAAAAGATATAAAATAATAAAAGTTGGTTTTAAGTCTTTAAGATTATAACTCTTAACTACGTGCAAAAGCAAACCAAACTTGAAATTAAACAAAAACAAAAGAACACTAATAAAACTCAATTTAACATTAATTTAGCATGCTATTGTGCTGAAACTAAATCAATGTTCCACACAAGACCGTGGTACTGACTCCAGTGGTAGATGCTTACAGGCTGGCTCGACTGCCTCTCCACGTACCAAGTGATGATTCCATTTCCTCCCCCCTTCCCACATCCGAAATACTGTAAAACCAGCATCACAGAACATGCTCACATATTTTCACCATAACTTGATATAAATGCCTCATTTACATTTGAGGTCTATTCTTTTATCTCTATTCATTTGACTTCGACTAAAACAACTAAAGCACTATTATGATGCACCAGTATGAATACAAATAAAACGTGAAATTGAATGACAACACTTGTTTATAAGGTAGCCACGACATGCTTCTAAACTTAGAAGTCAAGATGGGTAGGCTTCCTCCAGCCAAATATAATTTGAGCATCAATAAAATATTAACTACAATGGATTAAAGCACTTCAAATAAGCATAAAGTTGTGAGTTTGTGAAACTCAGGGAGAAAAAGAGTCACTGGTCACCACTAGAGAGTGCTAGTGAACCATGCCGATTCTGGATACCAGTAAGTGAAATTCTGTAAAACTATATAAGTTTTTAGGTTAACATTAAAATAAAAATACCAAATTATAAAATTCTTATGGAGATCTCTGAAAGCCCTGTGATGTCTCTATCTGAAAAACTCTGATTAGAGACAAAATACAGGTCAAGTTCAATGACCTTTTTTTTAAGTATATAACTCAAAAGAACAGACTAGACTGCAAACCAAATCTATGAAAAGAGATCATTCAAGCAGCAATGGGAACTTCAAATACGAATGTGATCATTAAAAACATTATGATTCATTTTTTTTGAAAAATGCTTGACAATGTTTTCCTCAACTATACTACCTTTGTTTCTGCTTCTGCTTCTGATCCTGTCCACATTTTTCACACCGTATCGGATAATAACTTTCACATATGTCTTATGTTGAGGATGAAATAAGGCAATAAATAATTAGAATAATAAATAATTAAAACAATGCCTAGTTTACCAAAGATTTATTTGTTCAGTAAATGGTAGTTATTATTATTATGATTATAGGATATGAATGAACAAAAATAAATGGAATAAAGGAATGAGATGTTTTAATCTGGAGAAACTCTTTGAAGGAGTTTGTCATTCCCTAAAAATGCCATCACTGACTTTCTCTGGCTGCTTAGATAACGACCCTTGAATGGCAGCAGTGTCAATATTCCCCCATCACCTCTTTCTTCTCTCCACGTGTAACTCTTTCATAATGCCATGCAAATTTCACTTCCTGCAAATCACTATTCATTTTTTTGCTGTACCTTCATCTTTGGTGACCGATTCCTTCTTCTGACTGTTCATTTTTGTAAAATAGCACGCAGTTTTATCATTGGGAGACAAGGACGTAATACAACTATACATTTTCACTGTCTGTGACCAATCAGCAACAGGCTTCAAAAGCGGTGATCTGCTATTTTCAAATGTGTGGATGGAAGAGCCAGCAGCAACGGTTG